TGTTTGGATCTAAAATACAACCAGAACGAAAACGAATGCCTTTATTGGTCATCCTGCACAGTTATCCCCCAACTTTTTTGTTCAAGAACATAATAAAAGAATGCTTGTTTTCGAAGAATTAAACGTTTTATCTATGAAAATTATTATTCAATCCTGGCTCAAAAAGGTCGTACTATCAATAATACAGTCTGAGTTTAATTTCAAAGATGGTGTTTTCAAAATTTGAATAGTACTTATTATTACAACTTAGTTTAACTATAATTAAATACAAATTTATTATTCTATTGAAAGATAGTGTTTTTATCTTGACTTGAATAGTGTAAACACTTTTTATCAACACACGATTAAATCATTATTTATAAGCTAGACGCTTTAAAGATGTTTCGTAATGGAATATTTAAACGATATAAAAACATGCACTATAAAATTAATTTCAAGTCATAAGAGGTCGTAAAAATATCTTTTAAAAGATAATTTTAGATCAAAAGTAATAATAATGATATGGATGGGTAGAAAAAAAATCAAATTTCAATTAAAAGAATCTTAAATTATCATATAAAATAATCTTTGTGGTTAACATGTCATCATACATCCTAAAGGCAGAAGTCGTCTGCAAGTTGAAAACGCTGTTGATGAAAAAAATAGAGCAGGTGAACTGATTAAAAGCAGACGATACGATGACAAAATTTTAAAATCTCTAAAGTGCCTTTATTAATATTTTCTCAGACTTCTATGATTAGCCGTAACGATGCAAGTACATTTGTATTTGTAATTATGTTATGTATAACAACATTTCTAAATAACTCTCTATTTTTAAAAAGCGCACCTGCTGAAGAGGTCAAATCGCGCGCGCTGGGGTCACAATTCACCTGTCGCGGGCACCTGCCTCACAGTGAAACGTCTACAGAAGTCTAAACGGGCGTTGTTATGGTAATTTGGAGACAATACCGCACCAAAAATTACGAACAAGGTGCGAATCTGCCAGCAATGCTTTTATAGCGAAATATCAAACATCGTTTAAATCTGAAGTGTCGATTAAGTTCACATTTGAAATGATTGAATTACTTTGTCATTTTGTTGAAATCTTAATTTTACAAGAAACAATATATCGAATTCAAATCAAATTCTAAATCATAATCATTAGATGTGTATTCTCCAATTTCCGTGCAGCTATTGTACATGTACGATGGATCCACCCACACACCTACATTACTTATACTAAAGACAATCTGCAAAGAACGCTCGGTACAATCTACCCTCCCTCAACCGCAATGCATAAATGAATCCATAAAAAAAAAAAAAAAAAAAAAAAAAAAAAAAAAAAAAAACTTGACCACTTGTATTGAAAAAAAAACGGTTATTTGAATTCCTAATATTTGAAAACCGCAAACTCATTTTAAAAGTACAATTTGTGTCAATGTTCACTTTAAGCATGTAAATAATGATTCACATTTAAAGAGTTAATATCATTGTTATAAGGGCATTAGTTTCTGTCTTTCTAAAAACAATATGATATAAACATATAATTTGTATAATATTAAGCCTTCAATTTCATATATAAATTAAAAAAATACAGAAAAGATTTGGTAACATATTTTGTTCATGAAATTTTCCAACACTCTGTAAAACCGTTAGAAGCATTTTAGCCTTTAAAGTTTTGCATTTTTAGTTATAGCAAATACTTATTTCTAAATTATCAAAATGATGTCCCAAATGATCAAAATAATGTCCCTTGTTTGTTTTTTTAACTTATCTATGTAGCATACCGCGGATATGTACTTCTACTTACAATAAATAAAATCCCTAGAAAATATAAAAATAAATATATATTTAATAATAACCAATAAATAAAAACTTCACTACAGATTAGCCCAGCTGTGCATAAATCCGATATGCTATTTTCATTACCTGTATCAAAACATTATTTTCTTTTATTATAATATACCTGTTGTTATGATATTTATTGACATATAAATGTTTAAATTACAAAATAATTAAAGCCAAAGTAGAATCCTTATTCCGTATTTTTTTTTAAATTAACTCGCCAGAGCTAAGTATTCTACATAATTGATGGATATGTGTATACCCACACGAAAAGATGCTAAATCTCGGAAAGAATAATGGAATGTGATTTACGCGGTGCGTTTGCACTTAAAACTAGATCGGGATTATGTTGATCTTGGCAAAGCAAAGGTACCCACCCCAACATCCCAACCCCAAACTGAATTCAAACTCCAAATCAAGATTGTCTTATAACCCTTCCGTGTTATGCAATGATTTCTTTACGGACAATAATTGTATATTTCGGGATTTGCCTAGACGGAAGTACGGAACACCTGTCGGGCCATCTTATGTTTGAAAAAAATATTTTACGTCAAGATATGTAAACGTTTCGTAGATACATAGCATTCAGCAACGTGTTAAAGGTATTCCACGTGTATTGCATAAGGTGAAATGAAGCTATCAGTACAAACTTATTCTATGTTGTATCATAATGCATATAGGGTAACAGTAACAATTATATTAAAGCGTGACTAACGCTATTGATGTCTTATCACAAATATGGACAGATTTTCATTATGTATATTAAGAACACGTTCTTATTCCTTCTTTACCTTCTTTCCTTTATATCTAAACAGAACAGAATAGAACAGAACAGATTTGTTATATGAAAAAAAAGGAAATACTAAAAGAAATAGAAAAAGAAATAAATCTGCGTAGAGGTTTGAGAAAATATTGATGAAACTACACGCTTACAACGAATTTAGAAAGAAACATAATTTCTGAAGCTATAATGATTAAGTTATCTCGCTTGGAGTAAACCTTGATAAAAGATGCAATAAAAAGATATCTATTTATTCAAGACCTATTTTTTTGTCAACCGCTAATTTCAACATTCACCCCGTTCCTTTATCATGAAACATTATTACTGATCACTATAAACCTTCCGGTGTTATCAATACTAACCAGTTTTATATTATATTAGAATAAACTCACGGTGCATATCCATATCGGTACCCTCTTTGCGAAATCTGCTGAAACGGTACCCTCTCTGAACATGCACAGGTTATTCTCTGCTCAAAACAAACCAGCGATGGATACCAATCCAGTAAAATTTCATTGTAATAAGGAAAGGATGTATGTCACATAGAAAAGATGTATACCACGGAACACTAGGATGTTTTATTTATGCGCTGATTTGTCATGTGCCCGATTTTCATGTACTGTAACTTCACAATAAGCTACAAAAAATCGACATGTCTTGCTTCGCCCATCACCTCGACATATTTTTCGGGCTGAAATGAACCTGTGGCTTGATTATATATGCATCATACATATTTAATATGTTCATATACATATCATCTTCGGACAAATGGCAGTATATTGTCAAAAATAAATGTAAAGTTCATAAAAACACCCTACTTTCGGTTTTGCAGCGGCACGGGCTACCTCTCTTCATTTGAATTTTTATATCACAGGTACCCTCTCATTATTTAACACATAGGTACCCTCAAAGCACGACATATGCTTTTTTGCGTTAATCGTTTAGTATGTAATATTTACATAAAAGTAAAAAGTATTACTACATACACACTTAACGATTAACGCAAATAAAGGCATATGTCGTGCTTTGAGGGTACCTATGTGTTAAATAATGAGAGGGTATCTGTGATATAAAAATTCAAATGAAGAGAGGTAGCCCGTGCCGCTGCAAAACCGAAAGTAGGGTTTTTATGAATTTTACATTTATTTTTGACATTATACTGCCATTTGTCCGAAGATGATGTGTAAATGAACATATTAAATATGTATGATGCATATATAATCAAGCCACAGGTTCATTTCAGCCCGAAAAATATGTCGAGGTGATGGGCGAAGCAAGACATGTCGATTTTTTGTAGCTTATTGTGAAGTTACAGTACAGAAAATCGGGCACATGACAAATCAGCGCATAAATAAAACATCCTAGTGTTCCGTGGTATACATCTTTTCTACGTGACATACCTCCTTTCCTTATTACAATGAAATTTTACTGGATTGGTATCCATCGCTGGTTTGTTTTGAGCAGAGAATAACCTGTGCATGTTCAGAGAGGGTACCGTTTCAGCAGATTTCGCAAAGAGGGTACCGATATGGATATGCACCGTGAAACTGTAAAAGTTAAAACAGGGTCTTTCAAATACTATTTGAAAGACCCTGCTTGAAGTTAGTTAGATGAATTAATTATCTGTTCAATTCTGTTCACAACCTTAATCTAAAAATTAAACTTGCTGAATTAACTAGCTTAATGATAAATGCGTTGAATCCAATTTCAATTTTTTTTTCAAAAAATAAAAAACTTAGTAATTTAATTCTACACTTATATATCTAATTTCTTGTTGTGAAAAAAAGTTTAAAACTTAAATATTTTATCGATATCTTAAATTTATAGTTTTCCGGTAGATAGTTACATTTTTGTGTGAATGTTTTATAGTTCTTTTATATACATCACCGTTTGGTTATTAATCTCTTAGTATTTCCACTGGAAAATCAACTGAAGTACAAAAGCATAAAATGAAAATCAAAATGCTTAGCACATCTCAAGATTTCATAACGAGGCGATGAAAACATTTTTGATGCTCTTAGAAAATGAATTAAGAACGAATAGGGAAATAATTTGTATAAGTATCCTAGAGTTCGACTATTTGCCGGAAAAATTCTTACATCATAAAAAAGCAAAAAAAAAAAAAATCAACCTATCTGAATTAAGTACTACAGAAGATAGAAACTGTATCAGATTACATATTTAACGATGGCCCTTCTGGGATTCCGTAGATAGCCCATATTTTATGAAAGGACTTAATATTTGGGAATTCTGTTAAACTTTTGACCTAGATTTTGGTCTCTACTGCTCGCTATTCAGTCAGTTTCTTTATTTCATTTATCTATTTCTTTTCTTTTCTTTTTATCTATTTTGTTTTAAAGTTCATATATATGGAAAGGGTTAAGAAAACCAAGTAATTTGATGATTTTTATTTTACCCCAATAAATAATTCATTACATCGATATTTAAGTTATGTCATGCTACACTGAAAATGCAAAACACATAAAATAAATCACAAATTATAGAGATATAGTTTCAAGACATGAAAAACCAATTGAGTATGAAATGAACATGCGCGCGATCCTACGCCAACCAATTTATTAAATAGCTAGATAACCCATATTGTTTTATTTATTGCACAAAATGTCGAATATTGCAAGGAAACTTTTCTTACAATATCACAATTCATATAGTCATATTTCTGCACGTGTCTTCGTGTTTTAGCAGAAGTGACATGCGCGAGAAGGTCTTGCTGCACGATCTACAACTGTACTTCTTGACGTCAGAATGCGTCTGCAGATGCGCGCGCAGATTGGACCTGTCAGCAAACGCTCGCAAACAGTGCACGCACGTGAATGGCTTTTCACCGGTATGCGTTCGCACGTGACCTTGCAGTAACCAAGGTCTTGAAAACGCTTTACCACAAATTTTACATTTACAAGGAAGAGTGTGCGTACGAATGTGCATTTTCAGAGCACCTAAAGAGACATATGTCTTTTCACAATATTTACACGTGAATTCCTTTTGCGAGTCCTGGGCACAATGAAACTGTTTATGTTTAGAAAGTCCACTGAATGTAGAATAACTTTTATTGCACGTTTCGCACTGATATTTCACAGTATCCATCTCTTTGTCCTTTTTCTTGTCCTCCATGACTGAGCCCTTGTCAAGGAACACCGTCGGCGTGCGCATGATAGGCGAACTTGTTTCACGGTTATCTTTCATTTCCTCTTTCGCCAATTTACTTATAAAACTATTGTTTTCCGTGAATTCTACAACATGTTTAGTATCCGAGTTCTTTGAAATCGCCTGGAACGGAGATAGTGGTGGAAAATGCTGAGAAGAAAACATTCCCATGTTTGGAATGTATTTTAAATATTCCGCAGTAAATGGATTATGGCGCACGTGCTCCGGTAGAACCGGAAACGGATATGCAGAAAATCCTGGGTAAGGAATAAATGGATAATGCGGATAATTTTGGTATAAGGGAAGCTGCCATGGTAACGGATGAACACTTGGAAGACTTGGACTTGCAACTGAGCTTGAACCGCCAGCTTCCTCTTTTGGTATTGGACACCTTGAGTCTGCTGTGCATATAGGTTGGCCTGGGCTGTACCGTTTCGGCTCTGGGACTACCAGTTGGACTCTGCGGCATTTTTCATCTGAAATTTAATTAAAATTGTTTGAATTAGCCATACTGGATACTGAATGTCAATATCATGCCGAAACTTTGTACATAGTACATTATCAAACATAATGTGATAATACAATGATCAAAATGTATAAACAATATATTTTCAATACTATTTTCCAATGAGTCATAACTAATTTTAAAGACAATGTAACGTTACATTAATAAGTCGTTAGTAATTAATACAGAACGTTATTTCAAATCAACAAAATTTGATATCATATTGTTGAGAATAAATTGTTTTAAACGTTACATAGGTCAGAAGAGCGTTGGTCTAGTATTAAAGATGTCTTCCACTCAACATAAAGGTCGTGGGTTCAAGTCATATTTGGATAGGAAATCAGTACTAATTAATTCAAGGAAGCGGTTTAACTAAGCTTGGTTCAAGTCATATTTGGATAGGAAATCAGTACTAATTAATTCAAGGAAGCGGTTTAACTAAGCTTGTAACTTCCATCACTTTCAAGCTAAAATTAATGTGTTTTAAGTAACATACTTAATGAATAGGTGTTCATTTTCTTATTGTATGCTTTTCAAACTAATATAACGATTTATATGTAATGTTTTATATTTAAACGATGCTATAACGACAACAATTATGTTATGAGAAACTTTGAACTATTCATTTACATATATTTATTTAGTGCATTAATTTCCTATCTTGTCATACTTTTCACTATCTTGCTTGTCTGTATTTCCGTCCGTTCGATCAGACAGTCGCACACATGAACTCCAAGGATTGAATGTCCCGTGCTGTATGGACTTTGCTAATTTGTAAAACGCTGCTTATGGGGTGAAAAGAGGTGGATTATGGGGTTTTAAAGATCAAAGAAGCCCATAACGTTAACTCAGGAAGAATGATCGTCCGTACATCCGTCCTTCCTTTAATACATTTTTCAATATAGTATATTATGCATATGCTAATTCGTTTTGTTATGTGGTCCGTATGTCAAATAAATCATTTAGATTTTTAAAATATTTATCATCAAGTAACTTAGTTCAAACAATCTGTTACGATGACGTTTTCTTCCACGATTTAAGATAACAAAAACGGTTGCGTAACTTGGTGCTAGATTTGGTATCTTCAAAATATGTACGTTTTCACACGGTCCGTCATTCTTTTAATGCTCTTAGAGGTCTCCCGATGTAATCGAACGTTTAGAAAACTAATAAAATTTCAATTTGACATTAAGATCTGTTCTGATAGATTTTAAGAAAAGGTTTGTGTATCAATGCACCTGCCCTTTGAATAAGCTGATCAAAAGCTTAATAGTAAACGGATTAAAAATTTGAATTTGATTTTTAGTCCAAACATATTAACAGGTGCATTGAATACATTAACGAATAAAGAATAATTGATAAACATATTTCGCCTAAAAAGATTTTAAAAATGCAAACAAATAATGAATTTGAATAATATTTGAATATGTTTAACAGCTCTTCGTCTCGTATTTTCTTTTTATTTGAAAAGAAATGCGATTTATATATTTTATTTAATTTAAATAAACCCGAATTCCACTGATTTTGACATTTGCATCAATTTGTATATGACTTAATGCATGATAACTAAATATAAGAAAAGACAGTAAATCAGTAAATATTTGACTGTTGGCGATATAAAAGTATTCGAAACCACACCCAGTCTACTGTGTGTGCATGTGCCAACTTTTAAAACTTAATAAGGTGCTACTTTTTTTACTTAGACTCTACAAATCACCATAGAAAGTTATTTCATTTTTTTTAAAGAAAATCTAGTTTTCAATAAATTCATTGATCAACCAACTATTCCAGTGCATACGTTTTATGGTAAATACGGAATTTCTTACACGTATCATCATATAAAGCATATGAGCCGCGTCAAGACAAAACGAACATAATGGGTTTGCGACCAGCATGGATCCAGACCAGCCTGCGCATCCGCGCAGTCTGATCAGGATCCATGCTGTTCGCTATCAGTCCTCTACTTGTTATAGGGTTTGTAAGCGAACAGCATGGATCCTGATCAGACTGCGCGGATGCGCAGGCTGGTCTGGATCCATGCTGGTCGCAAACCCAATATGTTGGTTTTGTCATGACGCGGTTCATATAACTGTAGAAATTAAAGAACTACTATATTTATAAAAAAAAACCAACACCAATATTAAATTCACATTTCACATGAAGTTTCACCTACTTCGTTAAATGTAATATTAACAAATGTAAAATAGATACTAAATAAGTATGTAAAAAATAACAGTTAAAATTATTTATACGCAGAGGAAAGAAATAGATAAAGGAGTTAAATGTTTATGTTTTGCGACAAGTCACTCACTAACAACGAAAGCATGGTCGATAAAATGCCTTCAGCACATTTGAACCTCACTGCTGTACTAAAGATCAATTAAGATTATACATGTAGATATATTTTACTTTCTTACTTAATTGAAATGAAATTCAAATATGTTATTTACAAAGGACGTATAGGTCACACATTTCAACTCGCTTTCGGTGTTATATCATTATATGGCCTGATGCAAGAAATCTAAACTTGTTAAAAAGACATAGACTTTTTTTCAATATAGTCATGAACCGAAAGTTACACATATTTTATATCATATAATTATTGCACGTGTTTCGCGATGACATTTTTTTTCGGTTCCGATAATCCTACCAAAACATGCATGATAAGTACTTTGATATACGTTTATAAATGTATAAAATATAAACTTTAAGATAAACTTGTATTTAGTGGTAGATGAACTGAAATAGTCTAATCTAAAGTAAGAATCGTACCATCTACCATTTTTCAACTACAATAGTTTGTGGCAAACCATTTGTTGAAAAAGAAGGTTCTTAAAAATGTAAAAGTCACAGTTCTTAAACTGACAGTATAAACTGTTAACATCTTGATAAATAAAATAAAATAAAATGTCCGAAACAGAGAAATATTTCTTACCAGTAACGTCATCTGACTTCACACTTTCCGTCTGCACGTGATTGTCGTTAACATCACGTGCACACTCCGTTTTCACTATCGCAGAAACGCTCATTGTAGCATTTAATAAAATAAAAAATAAATTGAACACAGACAAATCCTCTGATCAAACCGCTTTAAAAACAATGTATGTTATGTTCTTTTCAAACGATTACAATATAAATGTGTATAGTAAATCATGATTATGAACTTTAAGGCCACTTCTTGCGACTATCCAAGTTTAAAAGGTTCTAATCCCACCATACCTCGCAAACAATTAATTCATTACAAACACCTGTTCAATTACAATTAAATTGATTTCAAATCGCATTTCTGTTTTCGTCGATCGTAATGTAAAGAACTGAAATGGCACTTTTAAACTGATTCCAATGTGCCTGCAAAAAACTAAACGATTCACACCTTACACATTAAAGTAAAGCGAAATGTGTCTCGTGCAGTCAAAATGTTAGAACAAATTACCAAAGCTCAAACACCAATACATGGGGTCAGTTCCTTTTTTTGTCTTCTTACTTTATATCTGACTTTATCATGTTGGACTTGAAAACAAATTTGATACGTTTAAAAAGAAAACGCGATATCGGCCACATTTCACTTCCCCGGTTATAATCCCCTGCCCAATAGCTCTTTCCAAAGAAGGTACGAAGCGTCAAATCCCGCCCACTTCACGCGAGAGTAAAAAAGACCATTCGCGTATGTTTAGAGGTAACAGGTGTCACCGTAAACAATACTAATTTATTAGAAACACGCTGTAGGCGCTATGTGCACATCGATTTGTTGTTTCCATTGAAAAGTATCCTTTAAAAATTGTTAAATAAACACGACACACAACCAGAACGCCATGTGTAACGATTTACGCATTAAATCTTAAAATTAATACAGGTGAAGCTGTCTGTCCTTTATTATATCAAAGAAAAAAAGGAATATAAATTTTCATTTTACGCCACGCGTACCTTGTCAGGTGAAAAATTATCTTTAGATTGAAATTATGTTGATAAGAAAGATTTCACACAGATAACGAACGCTAATGAGAGTTTCATATGATCATAAAATCACACGCGCACCTGTTTTAAAAGCGACTTTTGATTGGTTGTACGACACGCGACACAATCTTGTTCGATGATGTTAATTAAAATATCTTTTTAAGTCCCGCATACATGAGTGGAACAGGTTGAACTATATATAGTCTCATTAAATATCGACATATTGTCACATACTTTTAATGACACGAAGAGAAAAAATCGACTTAACGCGTCACAATCCGTCTGTATATCAATTGACAATGTTCTTATTTTAAATCGGTAGAACCTTCATAAAAAAAATAATCGCACTATTATGTATTATACATGTAACTCCGGAACAAGAAATAGGAAGTAAATTAAAGAAAAAGTCTTAAAATATCGTAGATGTTCAAAACTTGAAATATATTCAATTAAAAAAAATCCAACAATTCCTAAACGAAATAACCTTTAACTTCTTTATAAGGTGATATACATAAATAGGAGTATTCATTTACGAGTAACTTATTTACAAATTGTTTCTATTTGATTTACTATAGTATGTTGATGGGAAGGAAGAATGCCTTTCTTGGTGAAATGTTCTCGCATTCGAGTGCCCTCCTGTTATAATATAAACCCCCAAACGGAAGTTAACAAACAGAAATCGACATTCTTTTTCAATCGCTCTTACTTTCCATGGAATTTTAAGACGAACGGAAGAAAAGCTCGGGCGCTACTACGTCCCAACATTTCTACTTGTATAGTGACAGTCGTTGCCGTGTTGGATAGTGGGCAATTATTCGGCGACAGGTGTTTGGGATCGTATGGGAAAATGAGTAGCTCTTATAATGCCCTATTCTCCATGTACTATACACCTTGGTTCGAATTAATAAAAAAAAGGTCAGCTCCCGGCAACCAGTAACCTGCGTTAGGAATTCAAATTTCATTTTCATAATTATTCTCCCATTGACATGTTTGCCTTTCTCTAACTTCACGGACTTAAAAAACAATTTTTGACAAAGGATAAATTTTGATACCATCTATTACAGAAGGTAAATCGATCCTTATCAAATGCTAGGATTTATAAAAGTATCTTTGTTTCGCATTTTTCATATTTTTTTTTCGGTAATTGAACTGTCATTTGTCATATTAAATTCATCGATGACGTTTAATTACGGAAATTTTGGATTCCGCAATTGTCGATTCCTATTAATCTATAAAAAAATTGATTATGTAGAAGTGTAGAGTTATGTTCACTAAAACTTGAAATTACAAAATACTTGAATTTACTTTTTAATGTATTATCATTCACTACACATGCAATAAAAAATGGCAGAAAGAAAAAAAATATAAATTACAAGTTAAGATATAACTTCGCTATAACTATAATAATTGTTTTGATTTAATAGCAGAATACTTCCAAAATGCTTGTATATAATAAATATGGTACTAACTTAGCTTAAAAGTGAATGGCATGATTTCATTGCATGCTAAACAGAGAATACCCTACTTATAATTGCAAAATAATATTTTGTTCCGGAACATTTAATTCTGTTTACGCACAGTATTCTTGTGTATTAAATAACAGAGACATTCTTTGATTCGACCATAAGATTATAAAAACAATATAATTTTACTGTTGATGAATTTCATATCAATAATTAACTTTAATACTTCAATTGCGCTTTAAATCGCCACTGCGTTTTTTTTCTTCTTCTATGCTCGGGATAAATATTTCATTTTGTTCCAATTTTGGACAAATCAGGTTGACTGGTAACGTTTCATGATGAGTACACAAAACATTCGACAGACAGACAGATTCAATGCAGGGCACACACAAAAAAGAGGGAGATGCACGGTGCATTTATCCATCTGTCACCCTCCCGCGATGCAAGCCTGTGCCGCTTATTGTGCTTTTTTATCCCCAATACTGTCAATGGTAAAATAATGTTTTCAATTTAAGTTGGCAGAAAACACATGTAACAATCGCCTTTATGAGAGACTTCCGGCTCGTTACGCGGCATGTTACATAAGGTATGAAAAACACACATGCACTTGTCACTCGTTCTAACGCAATCTGCGCGAGATTACATCTTTTCGTCGCCACTGCGCAGATGCAACAACGCGGATGACAGTTGAAGTTATCTTTATTAATTATTATTAACGCTTTTTATTCTTTCAAAATTGACAGAAAAATATATACTTGAAACTAAATCAATGGTATCTTTGCTTTAGATACAGGGACAACAAACTGACGTGCGATGTTTGAATTCCATAGTTTTATTGGTTTACTTGCCGTTTCCTTTCCCTTGGTAGTTTTCACTCCGGATCGCGGCAGTAAGACACACTGAATTTACCAGAGCCCAGTTCAAGCGTCGCATCGTTCCTGGGCAGGCTATCAAGCAGTTTACCAGTACTAGTTGCCTTCACTTTTGCATGGGTCTATTCACTTCTGTACATGCCAGAGCAGTGGTAAAGTGCGAATGGCCGCAGAAAGGATTTTATTATCAATTACAACGGAAGTGACCAACACTGTCCGGGAATGGAACCTTGATCGCCCGTTTCACAGTCCAACGCTGTACCCATTGAGCTAACCGGACGATGCTGTCCACTAATAGTATACAGCCTGTAATAGTCTTGCCCAAAAACATTTTTACGCAAATATTTTTCTGGAAACATTTATTTAAAACCATTCTTAGTAACTAAGTTTATGTTGTTTTTTGCATCAATTTATCCAAACAGCGTTCATGCGACAACTTTTCTAAATACATTCTATATGTACCTGCTAGTGCTGTTCTAAAGGTACATGTATATCATTATATTGCCATATGAGAAATAATAGTCATTGCCTTAATGAAGCTCGGACCCACGATCACTAAGTCAAGTGGCAGTCACCATAACCACTAAACCGCCAGTTCAAATTGGCCCATTTGGTTAAGACAAGATTGAAATTACCAAATTGTTTAAGCAAGCATTCTTAACATTATGCCCCTCACAGATATGCGATTAAATCCTTGAAAGAAGATAGAAGAAAATATCAGATGGCTCTACCTAGTTTCAGCTTGCGGATTTTTTTCACGGGGGATTATCCTTATTAGTATTATAGCTGGCGGAAGGATGGAGCTCCGTATCAGCCCCAGCCCCTACCCAATTATCTTTACCCCCAAAGGAAGTAGAAAAAAAGTTAGAAGCAAAAGTTTTTTTTATGTCTTTCTTGTGTTCAGAAACCTACATTATATTATTCAAGGTTTTCAATAGTCTGATCAGATGTCATAATTTTATAGTGCATGAAGCGTTACATATTGAGAATCAATCGAAAGAAACAACAACCCCCCCCCCCCCCAAAAAAAAAAAAAAAAATAAAAAATAAATGAATAAAAAAAAATATAAAAATAAAACAACAACAAACAAAGCCAAAAAACCCTCACTTATAACAAATGTAACGGAATGAGCAAACTACTTGAAGACAATTCATGTCATTTTGGATTATTGAATTAGCAAAATATCATTTCAATTTCGTATATTGTTAAAAAAGAAGAAAAAAGAAACCCGCATTACTTTCTTATTCAAACGTTCACATCATCATGATCGTGGACAGCATATTGTCGCAGTACGATGATCGTATCACGTGACATGCTGAGTGCAGCAGAGGGTCACTTAACAGGATAATTAGCCGGGGGAGACTTTAATCATTATTGTTCACACTTGAGATGATAGTGGACAGGTGCGTGAACACAAGGTGAGAAGTTTTATCACCTTGTTAAACCTTCAAGTGCCATCACACATTACTATGATTTATCTGTGTGTTCAGTATGCACTTCGCGGTACTTAACTATTTAATCGCATTTTTTCTCTCGTACCCCTTCCCTTCATTTTTTTCCCCGACAGGAAGATTTTATTTGAAAATTGCCGTTTATGTCATTGTATTACAACTTTTAAGGAATTACATCCGGGTGTTAGCAATTTAAACGGAATTATATTTAATTTTCTACATAAAATCCAATTAAGATAAAAATAAGATAATTGTGGTTCTTATGCCTAGTTTGCGTTTTGAGTGCGCGATTTTTTCAATTTTGGGGACACGTAATAAACAGGGTCATACCTCAATCTTTTAATATATA